TCTACTCTATGCAATATTTCCCCTGTTCTATTGCTTTATTTTATGATGCATGGAAATTCACATTTTCTGTAATACGCATTTGTGCGAACAGATTTAGATAGATTGGTATGGCTAGAAACTTCTATGTTCGCATGGATACATATTCTTTCTATAAGAAAATCTTTGGCGTGTTTGTTTGCGGTTTGGATTTTGAATAGTAAAATTTTGAATGAATAATTGTTTGATATTATATTTTGTATGTAAAATTAATTATCAATGGAATATAAAATATATATACTCCTTCCACCCCAAAAGAATAGTACAATTGGCTTTTTGGATATAGATTTTTTAAATATGAATTATTATATTAATAAGTAGTACAAATTAACAGAAAAATAAAAAAAATATTTCTATTAGTCTCTTATAATACAAATATTAATGAATGTTGAAATTTTTTCAAAAACCTCCAACCAAGCACAAAGTTTCAGTACATCTTAATGGTGTTGTATAATGTACTGTACCTCATACTAATTGGCATTTTTTTATTTTTTCTTTCTTTTTATTTTTTATTTTTTTATTATGCAGATCAAATCATCACTTTCTTATAACAAGATTTTCACAACATCGCTCTTGGGCAGCATAGTGCACACGAGGCACTAGTGTATATATATATATATATATATGGAGCTTTGTGTTTGAGGTTTAAGCTTGTCAATTTGTTGTGTGTACGTACTAAAGGATACAAATGCAAATACTGAAATACAGTAGTACTTGCAGTAATACATACAGTTACGTGGCTGATCATGTCAATAATTAATAGTAGGTATAAACATCCGCTTGCTTGATCCATTAACTCTGGGAATTACTAATCAGATCAGTATTGATAACCAACAAATGAATTAAGGTGTTGTTTTACTATGTGACGTAAATTTCTCAATAATAAGTTGTTCAGGATAGGTGGCCATTAATGTGTGCAGCATTGAGCAATTCTATCAGGATGTATGTTCTCTATTAAATTTTGTGTGATCCCATCATATTTTGGTATTTAAATACTGATATTGAAATAGAGTTAGTAATTTGGTACTTGTATTTACTGAAGTGTTAGATTTGCATTGTTTGATGATCTATGGTTCTTTGATTGTGTTTCTGACAAGACTGGTCTTGTTTCGAATTCGAATCTTGTATCATACTTGCATTTTACGAAATTTCCAGATGATCTCCGGGGATCAATATGAAGAGCATGAGAGACCGGGGGTTCTCATTTCGAACCATATATCGTATTTAGACATTTTGTACCATATGTCCTTCTTTTCCAAGCTTTGTAGATAAGGTAAGTTGATTTTTTCAAATAATTTAATTGCATACACAGTTAAAATTCGCCTGCGGTGCTACCCAGATTTAACGTACACCTTTCTCTCTTTTGGTTATCAATTCTACTTTGAAATTTCGTGCTGAAGAAATCTGTGGATAAACTTCCCCTTATTTGTTTCATAAGGTTGGTTTAGTTTCGGTCTCTCAGGATCCTTATATATGTTTTTCATTCCTATATCCATTTACTACTACGTAAATCGTCGACCAATTTTGTGCTCGTGCTTTTAGATCTTTAAATGTTGTAGTAAAGTATGTAAAATCTTTAAATGCAACTAAGATTTTCTAAATCTATAGTCTAGAATACAACCGGCTTGAACTACTCTAAAATGATTATCGTGTTGTGAAATGCTTTAAATAATTTCTATTAATGGCCCAAATTATGCAAATCCATTTAAATCTAAATGCATTATTTACCAAATAAATTTTACAAGTTAAATATATATCAATAAAAAGATAAAAAATAAAATTATTTCATAGACAAATAAACAAAGTTATCCGCATGTTTACTTTAATCGACATTAGTACCCTTGCAATTGGCCACCTGCATTGCCCGATTCGGTCAATAAGAAAAGCAAATCGTTTTTCCGCTTGCATTACTTGACATAGCCGGCTATCCTCCCCCATGAATATATTATTCCTTCCCTTTATACTTATATTAATGTATATTCAAATAGTTACAATACATCATTTTCAAAATAATATTTTTGTACACAAACAATAATAAATTTGCAAAGCAGCATCACAACATAATCACAAATAAATAACAAAATTTAAAATGACACAATATTAATGAAGTTTAATTTGTATTTATGAAATAATGCCTATCATATTCTGTCAAATATATTTTACATTTTTAACTATATTTTAAACAAACATTACAACAAGATTTATCATCTTCCTTACTATAATATTTACTACTACTAATACACAAAGTTGTTTGGCGTAGCGCACTTCTACAAATACTAGTATATATAGAGCACGGACTACTTAAGATATGCAAGTCAATAGTTTCCGAAGCAGAACCAACTATCCAATGAGATTAAGATTATCTTTGAAATGAAATGAAACACACACAAATATATATATATATATATAATTAGAAAGAGGTTCTACGGACCATTTATATTTGAGCCGGTCAGAGACAAATTAGGTAGAAATAATACGGTCTGCAGAAAAACTCCAAAAACTAGACCGTTAGAAAAGATGTATCCCCATTGCTTTTGGGGTAGAACCCATGGCAAGAGGGATGATTTTTTAAATACAAGAAGAAATGATTAAAAAAAAACAAGATATTAATTATGTAAATGCTCTATCAGTTGATCAAGAATATTTAGAATGGAATAATGCTCCATTTCATCTAACTCCACGTTTAGAGTTTTGCAATTGTTGGACTTTAGTTTCTTCTTACTTTTTAGTTGTTTTGCAGTTAGATATATAAATTTACGATTCTCACTTAGTTTGCTTGAAATTTTTTTCAATGCTAGATACTTTAGTCATTTAAGAATGTTTTCTGATTTTATCATTATAATTACTTTCTATTATTTATATTATATTACCTCTGCCAATTTAGAATGTTTACATTTACTTTGTGCATGTTGATATTTGAATATTAATTATTATATCAAAACGTAATACGAATCAAGAGAAAAAGATAATACTTCTAATAGTGTCTTATAATATATATACAAATGATATTTGTCTAAAAAATAATACAAATATAAGGATATTGTTAGAATATAATATTGAATTCTCTATTTCAATCTTAAGAATTCGTACATAATTATAATTACATACAAATTATCTAAATAATGCAGGAATCTTACAAATCTTTTAAATAAGATAACTAACATAAATGTGATATATATTTTAACACCCCTCTTAAAACTCAAGATATGATCGAATAAACTTGAGTTTGTCATAAGTGACCGAAAAAGATATAGTCGAGATCTTCCACGAATGAACTTGAATTTGCCACTGACTGAAAGTGGTGTAGACATCCACTGGATCAGAGTAAGAATCAAAACTCAACACCGTTAGAGTTGGAAACAGGACTCGCTCGTTCACAACGGAACTAGAATCGAAAACAAGACTCTCCCACTCTTACTAGAGCTAGAGAGCAGGACTCGCTCGCTCACAACAGAGCTAGAGTCGGAAACAAGACACGCTCGTTCATAACAGAACTAGAGTTGAAAATAGAATACACTCACTCTCAATAGAGTTAGAGTCGAAAACATAACTCTCAATGGCGTTAGAGTTGAAAGTAGAACTTTGTCAATGGAGATCGAAGTAGTAGAGATAGAGACCACATGAAAATGACAGCATGATCGTAGAAATAAGTAAATAAATCAATAAAATATAAAAAAATATACGAGATATAACGAGTCATGAAGGTACCTAGAGACAATTTGGTTTTGATACCATGTTAGAATATAAAACTGAAATTCTCTATTTCAATTATAAGAATTCGTACATATTTATAATGACATACAAATCATCTAAATAATGCAAGAATCTTACAAATCTCTTCAATAAGATAACTATATATATTTTTTAAATATATTTTAATAGATATTTTTAATGTTAAGTACAATGACGCAAAATGTAAATGTAAATTTATTAAATGGGCGGAGGGAGTATATTATTGTGGCCATACAAAAAATTTCATTGATATTAGCGAGCTATGATTTTGAAGAATTCTGATCGTTCGAATTGAATCGATATAGGACAATTGAACATAATTTTGTTAGCATTCTGCCTAATATCCAAATTGATCCTACAATATAGGTAATTTAAATATTCCAAGCCCGATGAAATGACAAATCGGCCCAAGTTCAATCAATAATGCACGAAGCTTAAGAAGATCAATCAAGTATATCATTAAGGATTAATTGATCACTTAACAAGCTTAATTTAAAAGCATTGAATAGAAAGATCATTATCTTGTTAAGACATGGAAGAGGTGGATCAATCGTTGCATTGAGTGTGACGGTTATGAGCAAGTGAATGCACAATGAAATTAATTGATACAAAATAGAGAAGAGCAAACCCTGCAGTATCATCCACACTCATTTGACAAAATTTATATATATTCATGTTGAATATATCCTACATTCGAAAAGTGTGGGATCTCCTCTTGGTTTATAAGGGTAAGGGATCACTCCTCCTATCACCAATTGGTTTTAGGTTGAAAGCCCAGATTCCTTCTTTAAGAATTCCTTTATTTTTTCTTGTTAATTTTTTTTGTTTTGTTTGTAGGATAATGTAATTTGATTATTAATCAATTACAATTCATTTGCGTTGTTTGTTCTTGGATTGATGTATATTACATTTTTCTAAAATTTATCGGATACCACCAGCAATTGGCAACGAGTTGGGCGGGAACTCACCGATCCTTTGGGCCAGAGATTTTAGACCAAAATTGAACTTTCAAGCCAATAATTATTCTTGCATGTTCCATGGCCGATTATAAGTAGGTAACAAATGATCAATGAGGGTTAATTAGGAGAGTAACTACCGTCGCTCCCAATTAATCTTCCTTATTTAAAAACCAGACAAACATCCAACACTTGAAAAAGTACTTCATTCTCAAAACAACAAAACACAAGTACACAACTTTCTCGCAAAAATTAATATTTCACAGCAGAGAGACATGAACAAAGTAATTAGTGTATATGCATTGCATTGAATTCATAACAAAATATATATATGTATATATATATTGTGAGAGAGAGAGAGAGAGAGAGAGAGCCTTTAATTGTTATCCACAGTTGCATTCATTTAATTAATTATAAGGTTAAAATCCGTCCATCTTAATTAAGCCAAGTATTTCTCTAGTTTCTCCACCTCTTCAACACTCCCAATGTAGAGCGGGACTCGCTGATGTATCTGCGCGAACACAAACACCAAGTGGCGGGTGGGTAAATAAACAAAGTTGATCAAGTAATTAAGCAAGTATCGCAGGCAGGCAGTTGATTAAGTAAGTAATTAAGCAAGTATCCCAGGCAGGCAGGCAGTATGTATATACCTCAGTGGGCTGAATATCAAGAACTCTGTGATGGCCATCAGAGCCTTTCCCCCCAGCTTGCTCCACTATAAAGCTCATAGGCGCACACTCATAGAGCAGCCTGAGCTTGCCATTCTTGCTCTTCTTGTCCCTGGGGTATCCGTAGATCCCTCCGTACAGCAGAGTTCTATGGAAGTCACCCACCAGGCTCCCAATGTATCTGGCCGAGTAAGGCTTCCCGGTGGGCCCCGGATCTTTGAGATGGTCGATGTACTTTTTAAGCTTGTCATCCCACAGCTGGTAGTTCCCTTCGTTGAATGCATATATCTTGCCAGCCTTTGGTATCTGTATGCTCTCCTGGGTGAGAACGAATTCCCCGAACATGGGATCCAAGGTGAAGGCGAAGACGCCTTTCCCTAATGTGACCACGAATATGACAGAGCTGGAGTACATGCAGTATCCTGCTGCAAGGAGGTTGTTCCCCGGCTGGCACACGTTCACCACGCACCTCTCTTTCATCTGGTCCAGCTGCGCCACCACCACCCGCCATTCAAATCAACCAAACATCATTTCATTTCATTAGTTATTTCATTCATTCATACTTTGCCTACCGTTTCATCCTCTTCAATGTCGGCAAGGCACTCATCGTTGGGACTGTATATTCCAAAGATGGAGCCGGTGGAGACTGCTGCATCGATATTGGATGATCCGTCCAGAGGGTCGAACACAACAATGTAATTCCCCGAATAACTCTCCTCCACGGCCACAGGGACGTCCTCTTCCTCCGATGCTATTATGCCTGTCCTCCCACTTGATCTCAGGCAATTTGAGAATACCTGTTTTGTTTTGTTTCAATATTCATTCATTCTTCAAACCAGGAGGGAGGGGAGCTAGGATGACTTCCTTCACTCATATATATATCATCCTTTCGATTCATTCATAAGTAGTAAGCATCTATTTATATGCATGGATGGAATCTCTCAATTTTAAAACAATTAATTTAAATTGAAATCCAAATCCAAATCGACATCAAAACCTCATTGGAGACAACATCAAGCTTCTTCTGATCCTCTCCCTGGACATTGACGGCGCCCTGAACTCCGGTGAGATTAGAAATACCGGCGCGCTGAACGAGTGAGGCTATCTGCTTGCAGGCCATGGAAATGCTGGAAATAACAATGGTAAGCTCAGCATCGATAACCCCCGACTGCTCCTGCTTCAAAAGCCATCCAGTCAGTGTCTGAATCTCATACCCACTCTTCTTCTTTGTCTCCGTCGTCTCCGCGGCCACAGCATTGCACCGCACTCTGAATCCATGACCCCCCGGTTTTCTAATCCCGTGAGTCTGGGAAGAGGAGAAACGACGGCTAGTCATGGCCGAATGAATTTGGGAAATATTCTTGTTATTATTGCAGAAGAAACGGTGCACAGGCACAGCTGCGGTGGCTGTGGCGGTCGCCGTTGCCATATATGTTAGTTATAGTTCCTTCTTTAATCTCCTCACTTGATGGGTGCAAGTAACTCTCAAGTCTGCGAATATACAACGGCCGGCCACTCCGCTTCATTCATTCCTTCATTCCATCTTCCAGGTTTTTTAATATAATCATAATTTTTATTTTTATTTTAATTTGTGAGGCTGCTGGTTGCGCTCTGTTGTGAGCAAGGCTTATCCTCATGCAAGTCGAGCCGAATTCCTATTTTCCATATTTATTAATATTTAAATAATAATTTAATATCATATTAAAAAATAATAATAAAATATAATTTTAATTTAAAATAATAAATATTTCATTATAATTTTAAATACAAAAATTAATTGATGAAATAATAATTTAAATAGTTTATTGTTTGAAGCTAGTAATATTTTCCAATTCTTTTTAGTTCAATATTAGTAATTTCATATAAAAAAATATTATTCTTCCTTCACCATAATTGACGTCATTTTTTTTTTTATGTTTGTATATCTAAATCAAAATATACACTAAAATAAATTGTATTTCATTCACTGAAAATATTGGAATTAATTACATGAGTTACGTATGAAATTTAGAATTAGGTTAAAAAGTCCAAGGTAAAAAGAAAAATTGATCTAACAATTGAGATGATCGAATTGGTCGAGGGGTATTGCGGGAAACTCAGGTAAAGTAGATGTATTTCTAAGGAAATAGCGGGTCGGAAGGTCCGCAGGTCGGAAGGTCCGTAGGTCGGAAGGTCCGTAGGTCGGAAGGTCCGCAGGTCGGAAGGTCTGTAGATCGGAAAGTTCGCAGGTCGGAGGATCCGCAGGTCGGAAGGTCCGTAAGTCGGACGATGTGTAAGTCGGACGGTCCAAAAAGGCGGAAGGTTTGCAGTCGGGCCAACAAGGCGTAAGGACTGCAGTCGGTCCAGAAAGGACAGAAGGTTTGCGGTTGGACCAACAGGGCGGAAGAGCTGCGTTCGGGCCAAAAAAGCGGAAGGTCTGCGGTCGGTCCAAAGAGTCGGATACTGTTGAGAGTGAGTGAGAATGATAATTAAGTCGGCTGAGGGCACTTGTCAGCAGGAGAAGGGTTAGCAGACGGTTGAAAAGGAGGCGTTGTAACCGTTCGGGCGATGGTTTCTAGTACCGCTTCTGAAGAGTATTTTAGGATTAAAATTTGCAACTGGCAATGTATCTTCAATCATCTTCAATCGACCTCAAAGTCAAGAGATTCGGGGATCATCATTTAAATTTTCAGTATCTTACTTTTCAGTTTATTTTCTGTACCGTACAGTGTTTAGAGATTCCTAATCTCAGGCACTAATTAATCAAGTTCGAAGATAATTTCCTATTTTCGGATTTTACTTTTGTTTGTTGAAAAAATACATTAACAAATTGGCGACCACAGTGAGAGAAAGGCAAGATTGCTGATCCTACATCAACAGAGAACTACATACGACTGAGGTCCGGCCGAATCATTAGAAAAATCACTATGGCAGGCTCACAACCTCAAACATCATCAGCACCGGTGGGAGAAAATATTTCAGCACCTGTCATGCTAAATTCAGGGGAGATTCCCCAACCACCTACCGATTGGTTGTCTTATGTTCAACAATTGAACAATCAGCAAACTTCGGCTATGCAGAACATGTTGCGCGAGCAACAAAATCTTATGCAGAACATGGTAGATCAAGCATTATCAAGGGTTACTCTTCAACCCACTCAGACGCCACCAGGAGTGTCACCATCAAGAATGCAAGCAAATTTTGCAGGGCCATCATATGTGGACAACACACTTCCAAGTGCCACAACGTTCAACCGAGCAGATAGGGGAAAAACTCCTCTAACTTTCCCTAACAATGTTCCTTTGGGACCAAGAGTTGATAATTTGCAGCCAAACGTTGTCAGGGAGGAGAGGCAAGGAGCACATGTGCAAGATCCCATTTTTATTCCAGATCATCAACACCCTCGTGTGGATCCTGAGGAGATTGTGCAAGTTTTAAGGGTGCAGTTTTGTCTGAATCCTCAGATGGCCAATCGCCCTGCTTATCAAAGGCCTTTTTCCCGAAAGGATCATTAACGATTATCCTCTGGCAAGGAATTATCGTCCACCTGATTTCTATGCTTTTTTAGGGGAAGACGGATCCTCTACCATAGAGCATGTGGGTCGTTTTACAGCACAGTTAGGGGAAGTTGGAAATAATCCCTTCTATAAACTGCAATTATTTGGATTATCTCTCACCAGAACAACTTTCTCATGGTTTGTAAACCTGCCACCTGGGCAAATACAAACTTGGGAAGGGTTGGAAATGGCGTTCCATGCTAGATTCTTCAATCCTTTACCGACTGTTTCTCTTACCGATTTATTGGAATTGAAACAATATCCAGAAGAGTCAGCCTCACATTTTATCGAAAGGGTGCGTTTAATGAAAGGACGTTGTCCTACTGTAATCAATGAAAAAAAGATGACCAACTTAGTGGTCAGGAACATGCATGGTCGCTTGAGAGAGGCGCTCACTGCCCATGATGTGGAAGATTTGGCAAGTCTTGCTTCCAAGGCTGGACGTCTAGAGTCCCTTTTTAGAGAAAAGCATCAGAATTTCAGGCGCAATAAAGTTCAGCATATGGCAAGTATGGAAACAGAGGCATACGACTTTGATTATGATCAAACAGAAGAGATGGCGGCCGAAATAATTTCAGGGAAGCCTTATGTATGCTCTAAGTTAAAGTCAGCACCAGGAACTGAAGCTAAAGGGCAACCGCCCTTTGACAATTCAAAGGTCGATAAAATATTTGATATTCTGCTAACTGATGGTCAGATCCGAATTCCAAAGGGGCAGAGGTTGGCTACTAAAGAAGAAATCAATGGGAGACCATACTGTAAGTGGCATAACTCTTTCACACATAATACAAGTCAATGCACTCATTTTCGAAATGAGATCCAAAAGGCTATTAAGGTAGGTCGGCTCAAATATATTACTTTGGGAGTGGAGCAACAACTATTTCCAAAAGTAACCACAGCAATGGTTAATATACAAGCAAGTTCCAGAATAGAAAAAGGGAATTCATCAAACAGTGGCCGACCAGAGGAGAAACTCAAGGTCTTTGAAAAAACAGTGGCTAAAAAATGGGATAACCAAGATGGTTCTTTTAATGTGGAATTGAAGGAGCAAATTTTGGTTCGGGATCCTCCTAATCGGAAGCAATTGGACTCGAAATAAGAAGCCTTTATCAGTTGATGTGGATCCTCGCTTCCCAGGCATGAATTGTACTCAGATTCGAAATGCCAAGCGCAGATATGCTGCGAGATACAGAGACAAGGTCGCTTCCTCGAGGCAACCGAATATGCAAGGCAATATTATTTCTCTGGAAGAAGGTCGGTCTATGTGGGTCGCCTCATTAAAGCAACCGAACGACAGCCGAGGCACTACTAAGTATACGGAAAGAGGTTGGTCCATCAGGGTCGTCTCATTTGAGCAGCCGAATGAGGCAGAAGGAGGTCGGTCCGTAGGAGTCGCCTCGTCAAAGCAGCCGACCAACATACGAGACACTGCTAATTACAAATAGGGAGGTCGGTCCATGCAAAACAAGGGTAAAGGCTTGTCAGATGAAAGAGTTGAGGGTTTCAGATGTCAGTATTGCGAGAAGATTAACATTAACCCATCTCTGGAGGAATTTCATTTGGAATCTCTGGTTGTTCAACCTGAAATTGAAGTCAGAGATGAAATTCCAGAGAATGTTTCAAGGTCTGTCAAATCTCGATTAGGGCCACGTATCCCCTGCCGAATGACAGAAATTAATTGGGTCGAGGAAGAGCCTTTGTGGGCAAGTCTGGTGGATGATTTTATAGAAGAACCAGAATGGGCAAAGATTTCAGATCCTGATTTTGAGTCAGAAGTTCCTTCAATAGTCTTCCCTCATATTCTAGAAGGCATGGCGTCTCATTTGAAGCCTCTGTACGTTAATGCTCATATTTGTGGAAAACCAATCACAAAGGTTTTCATAGATAGTGGGGCCGTCTTCAATGTAATGCCATTAAAGACTCTCAAGAAGTTAGGAAAGGGAATTCACGATCTCTCATGTGGATTTTGAGATGACTAGCTTTACAGGGCAGCCGACCAGACCGGAAGGCATAATGGTCGCCTCAATTGAAGTCGGTCCGCGCTTCTCTTGGATTCGGACCATCAACTTTCAATGAATCCATTCAAACATCTCCACAACGGGCAGCTTTCTTGCCTCCATAATGTAACGGTTGAATGCTTCGCACATATTGTTGACCAAAATGTCACTCTTTGTCTGCGGTGAGAAAAATGCCCTTGCCCAATGATGTTGTGCCACATCACTAAGCCACACATATGCCGCCTCACCCACTCCCGGGGGTGAGTCATACTTCCGAATCTCTCTTAGTACTTTCTCATGCTCTTTTACGTTGAAAGTCGAAGCAGCCTTCCAAAACATTTTTTTCAACTCCAGCCCCTTGAACTGTATATTGAAATTATTGTACATATGGCAAAGACAAAACCGATGCTCAGAACATAGCGCCTGCTCCGTAAGTGCCTCCACTAAAAAGCAAGACCATCATTCACACAGATCATGCAGCTATCAGGTATTTGATGGAGAAGAATGAGACAAAGGCCCGCTTGATTAGATTGGTCCTGTTGCTCCAAGAATTTGACATAAAGATTAAGGATAAGAAGGGAAAGGAAAATCATGAGGCAGATCACCTCAGCAGGTTGAGGCAAGAAGAGGACATATCTCCTGGAATCAACGAATTATTCCCAGATGCGAAGTTGTTCCTGGTACAAGCAAAGGAGCCATGGTTTGCTGACCTGGAAAATTTCTCAACAACGGGACAGTTTCCTACACATACAATACAATGAGAAAAGAAGAGATTTCTCAGTTTGGCAAAGGACTATTTTTGGGATGAACCCTATTTGTTTAACATCGGCTCAGATGGGATAATCCGCCGCTGTGTAGTGGAATCTGAGATCCCGCTGATTGTAAATGAATGTCATGGGTCCCATGTAGGAGGGCATTTCGCTGGCCTGCGCACAGCGGCCAAAGTTTTGCAGTCAGGCTTCTTTTGGCCTACCCTACAGAAAGATGCAGATGCCTTTGCCAAATCTT